AAAAAAAAAAAAAAAAAAAAAAAAAAAAAAAAAAAAAAAAAAAAAGCCTGGATTGAGAGCCCAGGGATCTGGGTCCAGCTAAGCGGGTAGTGGCAAAAATAAATAAATGAATGAATGAATGAAAATTTTAAAAATTTGAATTAGATAATTTAGATGAGAAGCTAAACTTTAGCAAACTCACTGTGTGACGATGGGCAAGCGCATTCATCCATTTACTTAATTTAATTTACAAGCATCTACCGGTCACTTTGGTACCCAAAGACAAAAAAAAAAAAAAAGGAAAAAAAAACAGGGAAACTGTCTGTTGGCCGGGGATGGGGTGGGGGGGGAAGAGGAGAGAACAACAGGTTTACGGATGAGTCAATACAAAATAGAAATTATGAGGGGGAAAGGCAGGAACGACTGGTGGGGATCAGAAAGGACCTCTTCTAACACATACCCCTTGAAGGCCTCAGTTTCCTCACCTGTAAAATTAGGAAACTGAACCAGATGGCTTGTAAGGCCTTTTTCAATTCTAAATTCTGTTATGTCAGTCCCAGTTTTACCACTAACTAGCTGTGGGCAAATCCCTTCGCCTCTCAGGGCCCAGTCTCCTCGGAGGTAGAAATGGTGTGCATTGGGTAACCTCCAAACTAGGTGCTGTCTAGCTCTACTCGTCCTTTCTTTCTTTCTTTCACTATTAAATGCACTTGTCCCTTTTTGCTTCTAACGTCAACGCATGTATTGTTTCATTCCTGCCAGCATCTGTGCGTTCGTCCCGTTGGGCGCCCGAGTTTCCCCCTAGAAGCCTGTGCCCTGGGCAGACTTGGCCGGCTGCGTCTGTCAGTCTGTTCTAGTTGTTAAGCTCCCAAGAGTCCAGGACCTCTGCTGGGTTTACACAGTGCAACGGCTGCTGGGCCGGGGCTAAAGCTCGGCACCCATGCATGTCCTCATGGGAGGCCCCAGAGGGAGGGAAGGAGTGGCGCCGGCTCCCGGTTTTTTCGTCGTTGCTCCTCTCCAGCTGCCCTTTCCAAACTTTCAAAAGATGCGGCCGGACTCCGCCCCCAGTCCCCCACGCCTCAGCGGCCGCTGAGCAGCTGCAAAGGCGAACAGCGGGCCGGGGCGGGGCGGGCCGGGGCGGAGCGGAGGCCGGCCCTACCCGAGCCCAGGTGGCTCCGCCTCCCGGGGGCGCGAGCCCGTGGTGGCCCCGGGAGCTGCTTGCTTGTTCCCTCGCCCGCTGCTAGTGCCGGCAGCAAGCTATGTCCCGGAGCCGAGCCCTTGGACCCGGGGACCCGTCGCGCGCGTAGGAAGCAGCAGCAGCAGCCGCCGCAGCAGCAGCCAAGTAGTTAGTTGTCAATGGCCCTTCGCATAGCGGAGCAGGACCGGACTAGGGGACCCTCCGCGCTTTCTTTGCCGCTACCCACCCCCACCCGAGAGTGATGGGCAACACCGCTCACAAGACCCTGCCAGGTAAGCGGCTGCCCGCGCCCTGGGTTCCCGTCGTACCCCCGCTCCCCTTCGGAACTGCTTGCCGCTCTCCGCTCCCCCTCTCCGGCCGTTGCGCGGGACTGAGCTGGCTTGTCGCCCGGTTGCCGGGCTTGGCTGACCGACTGCCGGCGTTTCCCGCCCTCCCAACCCGCCAACACACACACATACACTCACACTCACACACGCACACATGCCCCAGGCCAGGCCGTGCCCACTGGGGTTGCCGCCTTCAGCCACGGCAGGGCGGCGGGACTGCCCGCTGCCCTCCACCCTGTCCTGGGCTCCAGCGCTGGCCCTTTGCTCCTGCTGCACCCCTCTCCTCCAGGTGCCAGGACTGCTCAATGTGGCCCCTATTCTCTTCTCCCCCGCCCCAGAGACCCCGGCTATAGCCAGGTGCTAGCACCCTCCCCCCACCCAGAACTGCCCGGCTCTCCATTATCCTAGCCTTTTCTTTCGGGCTCTTCCCACCTCCTCACACACACTTATTCTTCTGTTCCAAAGCAAAATTGCATTAACAGGGATAGTGGGCACAGGCAGCCCTGTGCCTGGCATTCGGGAGTTCACCTGAAACCCCTGAGGTGTGTGGTTGGCGAAGGGAGGGATAGAGGAAGCAAATCATGGGGGCGTTGGGGCAGCCGCGAAGGAAAGAGCAAAAACAGTGAAACCATCCACCCCACTTCTCTTGCCCCACCCCAGCACCCCTGCACCCCAATTGCTTTCGTGTCTGCTCTAGTGCAGGGAATACTTCCTGGAAGAGGCAGCCACCATCTCTCGTTCCCCTTTGTTTAGGCGTTTCTCTTCTGCCCCCAGATTGTTGGGGTGGGGGAGGGAAGCTCTTGGCTGAGCCGCAGACAGCCTCAAGGACGAGATCCAGGTCCTGGTGGCCAGAGGGGGTCCTCTGGGAGGCGCCACCTGCGGAGGGAATTGGTCTTACTCCCTGAATTGCCAGGGCCAGAGCCCACCAGGGTGAAAGTGTCTGCTCCAACCAATGTGTTAGAGGCTGTGAGGACCAGGAGGGTGACTCCAGGGAGTAGAGAGAGAAGGGACAGCAGGGGTTCCCAACAGAGCCCTGAAACAGACTGGTGTAAGGCTGACAGCCTTCAGGACTATGAGAAGGGATGAACTTTCTCCCCTGCTTGTCACCACCTGCGACTTCCACAGCTGTTTGGCACCATGGGGGCGACAGTACTTGGACAGGGCTGTCTGTTGACTGTAGAGGTCTTTGTCAATCAGTCAGCCTCTTTAGGACTGTTTCTGGCAAGTGGTCTAAGGCCAGTGACACACAGAAGGCTCTCTTGTCCTCTGTCCTTCTGTTATTTTATGGTATATTTCAGTTTTCCTGTAAATTATTCATCCCTTGGGTTTGGATGACTCCCTTCCCCCCACAACTGGTTGAGTGGCTGCTTATGGCAAACCTTGACTATCTGTTGATCAAAGATCACTGTCTGGCAAAATGTAGAAGGAGTGTGTTGTTAGGAAATACAGGTAGTTTTCTGCAGAAGGTTGGAGATTTTTTTTTTTTTTTATAGATCTACCAAAAAAAAAATTTCAATGAGGTAGTATATAGAGGCCCAGCAGGAGACTTGAGAAGGAGGACAGATCACCTTATCCTTGCACACCCCCACACACATCATCCCTTCTTCCTTGGCATCTCACACATGGTTATCAGAATATAATCTCTCTTCCACTCAAGGAAATTGAAATAGATTAGTGATAAACTCACTGATTTTTAAAACTGACCTGTGGAAGGTGAAAACATCTAATCATTGTTCTGGATGAACCTTTAAGGTAATTTCAAGGCCCCTGTAGAGGAACCCTAGAAATTCAGCAATCTGGTGAGAGCAGAGAAAAACCTTGATACACTGTGATATATTTTAAATTTTTCAGGGTCCTCATTATGAAATGAAAGTGACTGAATTTTCATGTGAGCATGAATCTGGGTACAGCGTCCAAGGCTGGAAAGACTTTCAGTAGGTCCCAGAAATGATTTGTCTGTCTAGAATAGTGTCATTGCCCTTTGGCAATCTGGTGAAATCTACGGACCCCTTCTCAAAATATTTGTTGCATACTTTCATATTGGAAAGAAAAGCTAAATTAGTTAGAGATTAGTGAAAACAATGATGTATTTTTTTCCCATCCAAGTTGATAGACTTCCTGAAATCTGTCTGTGGATCCCAAGTTAAGAACCCTGGTGTTGAAAGGGGCCTAGTCAAGTGTGAAGAGGCACATTGGTGGAAGGGTAGTCACCAGATAACGAATTTGTCAGCCATAGTTACTCAAGAATACCATCAACCAAGGCATGGAGAAGTAGGAGTACTGAGGATGAAAGGAGTATCCGTGCCAAAGGCATCACGCATCCATGAAGGATTGTGGTACCCTTGTAACCATGAGGGATTGTGGTACCATTGTACCGTGTAAAAAGCAAGCCAGCATAGGTAAATGGAAAGAACTCTGGATTCTCGGTCAGAGGACCTGAGTTCAAATCCCAGCTCTGCCACTCAGCTACTATCTTTGTTAATCAATTTGGCAAATGAATCAAGCTCCCTGTGCTTCTGTTTCCTTCTCTGTAAGATTCAGTTAGACAAGATAGGTTCTAAAGCCCCCTCTAGCTCTAAATCTGGGCAGCTGGGTGGTGCAGTGGATAGAGCTCTGCCCTTGGAATCAGAAAGGCTCATCATTTCTGAGTTCAAACCTGCCTCAGACACTAGCTGTGTGACCCTGGGCAAGTCACTTAACCCTGTTTGCCTCAGTTTCCTCATCTGTAAAATGAGCCCAGTCCAATGTCTTTGTCAAGAAAACCCCAAAATGCACAAAGAGTTGGACATAACTGAACAACAACAAAAGGTTTAAATCATCCTGTCTAGAAGATGGGAGACTTCTGATGTAGTTCCAAGTCTTCATTTAAATGACTGGATGACCTTGGGCAATTCACTTCCCTCTCTGACTTCAATTCCCTCATCCATAATGAAGGAACTAGATCAGAGGTTCTTTTTTTTTTTTTGGTGAGGCAATTGGAGTTAAGTGACTTGCCCAGGGTCTCATAGCTAGTAAGTATCAAGTGTCTGAGGCTGGATTTGAACCCAGGTCCTCCTGACTCCAAGGCCAGTGCTTTGTCTACTGTGCCACCTAGGTGCCCCAAAATCAGAGGTTCTTAACCTTTCTTTGTATGATATTTCCCTTTGACAGCCCAGCAAAGCTTATGGACTCCCTCTCATAATGTTTTGTTTTGTTTTTGTTTTGAGACTGGATCTTACCATCTGTCCCAGGCTAGAAAAACCTCCCAATCCCATACTAATTGGCCTAGGAGCTTTGACCTACTCCCATTTCTGACCTGGGTCAGTTCATCGCTCCTTAGGCAGCCTGGTGGACCTGTACTCCTTGGGGTTCACCACATTGGTGCCAGACAGCAAAAATTGGCTGTAGCCTATTGCATCTCAGAGCTCCCCAGCTCAAGTGATCCACCTCCCTCAGCCTCTCTCGCAGCAGGAATTGCAGGCTCGTGCTACCATTCCTGGCCCAGAATAATGTGTTTAAATGCATAAAATACAACACATTGTACTACAAAGGAAACCAGTTATATTAAAATAAAGATTATTTTTGTTCCCATCCAAGTTTACAGACTCTCGGCCCCAGGATAAAAACCCTGAACTTAATAATCTTAAAGGCCTCTTAAAGCTCTATCTATGGCCCTTGAATTCCCTTGTAGTGTAAAATAGGCAGCAAGAAGACTCTTCTTTTGAAGGATCTATATACGTAAAAAAGTTAAAACAGGAGTCCTAGCTGCCTGTTGCTTTAGTAGTTCTTTGCCCTCTTCCTGGTGAACTGTGTCTGTGGTAGGAGTTTCCTATGGATATAACCAAATATAGCTAGGAATCATTCTCATCCAAAAAGGAACTGGTTTGAAGAATCACACCCTTTACAGTCTCTCTTAATTAAGAAATATTTATGCATCTCCAGGGCAAAAACTATTCCTCCAGATGTGGGTCATCTTCCAAGGGTGGGGGCAGGCATACTGAGTATGTGAATGAGAATACAGCATTCTAAAAGTAGCATGATATTTATCTAGTAGTATCCCCACTCAAGCAGAGAGCTCACTCCCTTGTTTTTTGCAACTCTAAGTGAAGAGTCATAACACAGGTCACCTTTTTCAGTAGTTGTTCTCAGAATCAGAATAAACTTCTGAGGCTACTTAATCGAACCCATTCCTGATCAGGACTTCTCTCTCCAACGTCCTGGACAAGCGGTCAGGCAGTCTTTGCTTGCAGGTCTCCAGTGAGGGGAAGCCCATTCTGATTTGAGATAGCTGTAATTGTTAGGAAGCTTTTTTCCTTAAACTTAACTAAAATGCACTTCTCCATGCTTCCAGTTCTACCCTCTGGGATGAGGCCTAATCCTTCTTCCACAATTCAGCCCTTCTAATACTTCAGGACAATTATCATATCACCTTCCCTCTCCAGGTCTTTTTTTTTTTTTTTTCAGCTAAATAGCTTTAGTTCCTCATACTTTTTTTTTCTTAAAGCATAACCACCAACCCATATTCTGATTGCCTTTTTGTGAATACTTATCCAGTTTTTCTGGGTGTCCTTCCTAAAATGGCACATCCTCAACTAAACTCAATAGCCCAGGTGTGGTTTGACCAAGGGCAGAGTCCAGAAGAGCTGTCACCTCACCATTTTATTTGACTCTTCTGCCCTCTCAGGGACCACTGTCTAGCCATTCTTCCCTATGGGTAATTCAGATGGAGGACTTTGGTTTCAGACAATTATGACTTTCCTAAATGGATGGATAACAATGAAAGCAAAGGCAGTTCAGGGAAGATGTTCTGTTGCAGGGAGTTAAAAAAAAAATTCATAGAATCATTTATGATGCTCATTGCTGCTAAATTCTGTGTTGAAAGAACTTCTTTTCTGTCCTTCCTTGGTCAAAAAAAAAAACAAAATGAAAAAAGCCCAGCTCTATATTGTCTCACAGTTAAAAGGATA